TCCAAACTTCGTCTCTCCTACTTTGGAAATATTGTCAGGAGGGACCAGTCTCTGGAGAAGGATATAATGTTTGGTAGGGTGGAGGGTCAGAGAAAAAGAGGAAGACCCAGCGAGATGGATTGGCAAAGTGGCAGCATCAATGGACTCAAGAGTGGCAACGATAGTGAGGTTGGCCCAGGATCGGGCAGTGTTTCATTCTGCTGTGCATAAGGTCACTCTGAGTCGGTACCAACTCGATGGCACCTAACAACAACAACAACCCACTTCGTTGGTTTGAAACTTATCAAACATGAAATAAAGATGCATTGATAATTACTGGTGATTAGATTGCAAAAGTTGGAAACCAAGAAGGATCAGTAGTTGGAAAATATGACCTTAATGATAGAAATGATGCCTGAGATCATATGATAGAGTGTTTAAGACCACTAACTTATTTACTATAAATACCCTTTTTTCCAACAATTTAAAAGGCGAATTCACCAAATGGAATACACAGGAATCAAAATGACTACATCTGTGGGAAAGTAGAGGGAGAAGCTTGATATCATCAGCCAAAACAAGGCTAGAGGCAGACTGTGGAACAGACCAATAATTTCTCATATGGAAGTTCACAAGAGACAGACTATGACCTTGGGCATATCCCAGCTGAATTCAGAGACCATCTCAAGAACTGATATGATGCATTAGAAATTAATGACTGAAGACCAGAGGAGTTGTGGGATGACATCAAGAACATCATCCATGAAGAAAGCAGAAAGTCATTAAAAAGGCAGAAAAGCAAGAAAAGACCAAAATGGATGTCAGATGAGATTTTCAAACTTGCTCTTGGATGCAGAGAAGCTAAAGTTAGTGGAAGATATGATGAAGTAAAAGTGCTAAATAGAAAATTTCAAAGGGCAGTTCAACAAGACAAGATCAAATATTATAATGAAATGCATAAAGAACTGACATTAGGAAACCAAAAAGGAAGAATGAGCTCAGCACTTCTCAAGCTGGAAGAACTATAGTAAAAAATCAAGCCTCAGGTTTCAATATTGAAGGGTTCTATAGCTCTGGTAGTATAGTGGTTATGAATTGGGCTGCAAACCGGAAGGTCAGTAGTTTGAAACTATCAGCTGTTTCACGGGAGAAAAATGAGGCTTTCTGCTCCTGTAAAGATTTACAGCCTCGGAAACCCTGTACAGGGTCATTATGAGCCAGAACCGACTCCACGGCACATAACAACAACAACAACCTGGACAAAATATTGAGTGACATAGGAAGTACCAGAAGAAGATAAAACAAATACACAGAGTCACTGTAACAAAAAGAATTGGTAGGTGTTCAACAGTTTCAAGAGGTAGCATATGGTCGACTACGGATTGTATTAAAGGAAGAAGTTCAAGCTGCAATGAAGGAACTAGTGAAAAACAAGGCTCCAGGAATTGATGGGCTACAGATTGAAATGTTTCAACAAACTGACACAGTGCTGTAGTTGCTCACTATGCCAAGAAATGTGGAAGACAGATACCTGGCCAATCAAGTGGAAGAGATCATATTTATGCCTCATCCAAAGAAGGGTGACTTCAGTGGAACTCTGAAATCATTCAACAACATCAGTAATATCATACACAGTAAATTTTGCTGAAGATAATTGAAAAATGATTGCAGCAGTACATGGAAAGGGAGTTTCTAGAAATCAGGCCAGATTCAGAAGAAGATGTGGAATGAGGGATATCATTGCAGATGTCTGATGAAGAGAGACTGAAAGCAGAGAACACCAGAAAGGTGTTTACTTGTGTTTTATTGACTATGCAAAGACATTTGAGTGTGTATTATAACTAACTATCTATAACATTTTGAAGAATGGGAATTTCAGAACACTTAATTGTGCTCCTCAGGAACCTATACATGGACCACGAGGCAGTCATTTGAAGAGAACAAGGGGATACTGATTGGTTGATGAGGAAAGGTGTGCACCAGGGTTGTATCCTTTCAACATATGCATGTGAAAGTTGGACAATGAATACGGTAGACTGCAAAAGAATCAAGAACAAGGAATCCTGGTGTGGTGCTGTAGGATAAGTACTGGACTACTAGCTGCAAGGTTGGTGGTTTAAACCCACCAGCTATTTCTTGCAAAGCTATACAAGTTTGCTATAAATTGAAACTGACTCCATGGCACTTAACAAAAACAACAAGAGAAGAACTGATGCATTTGAATTATGGTTCATGCAAAGAATACTGAAGGTACCATGGACTGCCAGAAGAAAACGAATCTATCTCAGAAGAAGTATAGCCAGTGTCCTCCTCAGAAGCCAGGATGGCGAGACTTCGTCTCTAGTACTTTGGACATGTTATCAGGAGGGGACTTGTTCCTACAGAAGTGTATCATGCTTGGTAAAATGGAAATGAAGCAGAGGAAGACCTCCACAGAGGCAGCAACAATGGGCTCAAACATAACAACTGTGAGGATGGCCCAGGACTGAGGAGTGTTTTGTTCTGTTGCATGGGCTCACTATGAGTTAGAACCAACTTAACAGTACTTTAGAACAACAGTGAGGTGGCATCTTTCAGTTATATGTTATATGGTTTGAATTTCAAAAGTGTAGAAAAATACAGTTAGAGGCGGACTTAAAATAATTAAAAATACTTTGTGAAATGTATACTTAAATATTCTTTAAATGACACAAAGTAAGAATATGGAGAAAACAAACTCACTGGCATGGAGTTGACTGAGACCCACAGTGCCCTCTAAGGTCCCAACACTGTAAATCTTTACAGAAGCAGTCAGCTTCTCTTTTTTCCAATGCAACAGCTGGTTCATTTGAACCACTGGCCTTGTGCTTAGCAGTCCAGTGCTTACTCCACAATACCACTAGGGCTTGTTAAGGCTATGGAAAGTGAGAAATATAAATCTGATTTTCAAAACGAATTTAAGAGCTATCACATACCAAAGAAGGTGAGGGTTAAGTGTACACCAAGCAGAGGGTGTTTAATAGATAATTGGTTTTCAGCAAGCACAGAAGCCAAAGAGCAAATCTATTTTAAAAAACTAGGTATCAGTAAAAAATTTTAAATGGCATTAAAATTGCCAAACTTGTTTTGCCAGTTGATATTCTCAGAAATCAAAGCTGTGTCTGTCTAGTGTGCATTTGTATTTAGTCTGGGCAAATTAATCTCTCTTTTGATCTTAGTTTTGCCATACATATAAGTTGTTTTGTAAGGGTTTAACATTAATTTAGGTTCATAAATTGTGAAATCATTGTACATTAGGAAACAGCTTGTTTTAAAACTGCTCAGAAAACAATCCAAGAAGGTACAAAGAATTAAACCATCACTGGGATGCTTTATGTGATTATTTTGTTTAAGTTAGTTACCTCTTGTGAAAGCCGTGTAACTTGGTCCTTTTGATGTTCCAGGTCTTTTAAAATTAGCGAGTTTTGTTTTTCTAACTGAAGCACTCTTCTTGCCAAGTGGACACTAGGCCAATGAAATGAGAAAATTAATGCTTATAGAAGGGAAATGCTATCTAAAATATTTAAAATGTGTTTGTCTGCATGAAAACTGACTTACCATTTCCTAATAATAGCACTTCAATATTAGCAGAAAAATACAGCCAATAACATTTTCAGATATCAAAGAACACCAAATTTTGAAAGTAACAAAGATTAAAATCTGCATAATAACAGAACTATGATTTATTGATAACTGCAGTAATGGTTTCTAGCCCTTGCTATCAAAGTAGAGAGTTACATAACAGTTGTTTAAAAAGATGACAAAACAGTGATTTGTAGCTCTCTAACATTTTATAAAAATTTCCTAATTAGAAGCAAATTAGGCAATTACTTGAAATATTATGAACATTAATAAGCTTGCTGTTGGAAGAACATTCGTGTTTACTTCTGATAATATAATACATTTTAGATACAACACATACTTGGATAGATTTTCTATTGAAAATGGAGATGGAAAAGATTTATGAAACCTGGGGAATTTCTATAATGAAGGCAAAGACTCCACACTGAAAGAAATCACTCCCTTTGATGAGCTGCATTACCATAATTTATTACACTAAGTGTAGTCCTTAGTATTTAAAATCACATTAAATGTGAAATGACCCAATTAAGCTTTAAAAATATGTCTTCAGAAAAAAAGTGGTTTAGTTATAAGTCCTAACTATTGGTAAAAGAATGGCCTAATTTTTTTTTTTTAACTGCTAATGTAAAGAAGAAATGGTACTCCAAAAACTTCCTTTGCAATTTCTAAGCACAAAAAGTTTCACATGTCAGTTCTATGTATTTAGAGAGGAGACGAGATGTTTTCAATGACAAGAGATCTTCACTTGAAATAAAATTACAGAAAAAACAAAATTATAGACCAGAAACAATTCTGCTGTTATTTCCTAACAAGGCATAAAGGAGCCGTGGTAGTGTAGAGGGTTTATGAGTTGAACTGCAGGGTCAGCAGTTCAAATCTATCAGCTGATCCAAGGGAGAAAGACGAGGCTTTCTGTTCCAAGATAAAAAGTCTTGGAAACCCTATACAGGGTAGCTATGAACTGGAATCGATTCCATGGCACATAATCACCATTACCACCAATTGGTGCTCATGAGGAATCTGTACATGGACCAAGAGGCAATTTTTCGAACAGAACATGGGATCACTGAATGGTTTAAAACGAAGACAGGTGTGCGACAAGGTTGTATTCTTTCACCATACTTATTCAACCTGTATGCTGAGCAAATCATCCGAGAAGCTGGGTTATATGAAGAAAAATGTGGCATCAGGATTGGAGGAAGACTCATTAACAACCTGCGATATGCAGATGATACAACCTTGCTTGCT